AATCTATTTTAAACAGGAAATCGCATCTCCAAATAACAGATTTAACAGATTTTATCCTCTATAAAGCTTACATAGAACACTAATACATAAAGTCAGTTATTTAACAAGCAGACCAGTTATCTAACATGGGTATCTTGTGTACATTTTAGTTGGTATTTGCAAACCTAATACTATAGTTGAAATAAAACTCAACTCAGAGTTCTACTGCATTTTGCTCCATATTTATTTATTTATTTTGCACTGCTCTGCACCTTCCATATTAATGCCTTTTGAACCATGTTTTTGAACTGGTTTTCCTGTTTATCTACACTGATCAATGCTGCACTTTATACATGGAAATGTTCACTTCATTGCTAAGTTGCTCATTTACTGTTGAAAAGCTATATGCACCTACATTTTTGTTATGTTTATACTCTGTGTATACACAATGAGAATAAAGTTTCTCTAAGTCTAAGTCTACCAAATAATATTGAAAGAATAAATCTTAAAAACAATATTGGCATATACATTATTTTCAGAGTAGAAAAGGTCTATCAAACTTTTCTGATGCTAAAACTTCCTTTTGATTCATGCCCTCTAAAACTGGAAATATTTTATAAAATGAGGATGCAATCACACCATTTCAAAAACTTTTATTCTCTATGACTGTAAACAATGTATTGAAGTTATGTGTTACTGCCTACTGCAACACTGAAAAACTATATAATGAGCACAAAATAAAAAAGAAAACACAGGGAAGTGCTGGGTCTTTATTTTCACCCTCAAAATCAATATCAACAGCACTTTTGTCCAAGCAATTATTCACCAATTATGGTGTTTGATTTATGGGAGACTGCAACCTAAATGGAAGACATGCGGACTGACCGAAGTTGAAGCCATAGCTAGAAGAAATAGCTTGAAGACGGAGCCATTGGGGAAACTTTCATAGTGGCTATAGGTTTTTGTAGAAAAAGAAAAAAGTATTTTCTTTGACAGGGAATTTTGTTTATAACTCAAAATAACTTCTGCCGTCATGGTTTTACTGCTATCTAGACATTTCTCCTGTATGTTTATTTACATACAGGGGAAAAGTCTGCAGATTTACATTTTTTCCATTGAGTTCAAGCCAAATGTTGCGGATAATATCAAAGTCCACATGGTGCTTGATGTGTAACATTAGCTTGAATTGACTTTAAAGGAATAGTACACCCAAAACATGATTAGCCTTCATTTTCTACTCACCCCCATGCTGAACAACACTCTGGAGTACTTTTTTGATATCTCAAATGCATCTGGAGATCTGGGAGGCTTCTTGCTGTCTGCTGACATTCAAATAATGGAGGTCTATGGTGACCGAGACAGAAAGGTCCATAAAAGTCCACAAAAAACGTGTCAATATTCCTCCATACTGCTCGTCCAATGTATTCCAAGTGTCCTGAGTGGGTAGCATCCAGAATTTACTCGAAACGAAGTCATTTAGAATGTTTTTAGAGCATAAACAGTAGTGTATAGGATTTCCTGAAAGCGCGCGCCGGCGCGTTCATGACGCTACGGAAGCCGGCAGACCAAGCCAGATGAAAGTACGCATTCAGCGTCTGCTCTGCCAATAATGCAAGCGTAGAAGAAGAAATGTGCTGTTTACCTGTGCAAAGAAAGAAACAACAAAAGAAAAATGTCTGAGGACTTCAGTGTTGAGGAAGAGCATGAGTTCTTTGCCGAGCTGAATGCGCTGGTTTGGTCTGCCGGCTTCCGTAGCGTTGGGAGCGCGCATGTGCGCGCTTTCAGGAAATCCTATACACTACTGTTTATGCTCTAAAAACATTCTAAATGACTTCGTTTCGAGTAAATTCTGGATGCTACCCACTCAGGACACTTGGAATACATTGGAAGAGCAGTATGGAGGAATATTGACACGTTTTTTGTGGACTTTTATGGAACTTTCTGTCTCGGTCACCATAGACCTCCATTATTTGAATGTCAGCAGACAGCAAGAAGCCTCCCAGATCTCCAAATGCATTTGAGATATCAAAAAAGTACTCCAGAGTGTTGTTCAGCATGGGGGTGAGTAGAAAATGAAGGCTAATCATGTTTTGGGTGTACTATTCCTTTAAGGACCAAACAACGTCTTGCTGTGTGTAAACTAACCACCAACAGTAACTGCCTGTGACCTCATTCATCAATGCTTTTATGAAAAAAATAAGACATGGTGAGAAAACATGAAATATTCTGATACCGCCCCGTAAAAAGCCAGGACCAAACTATAAACAAGGAACCAAATAGCCCAATAAAAACAATGAATTCCAGAATGCACAACATTTAACAATGTTAAATTAAATCTAGAGAAGAAGGAGTTTTACCAAATTATCATAGATTAGTGTTAATCACTCTTTTTTTCCCATTTGAGCTCGCCAACACATGAGCAGAAATGTGTTGATGTCATCAGACTGGTAAAATTTTCTAAGAAAAATTGGGTCAAAAGTGAAGCAAAATCTGCTATTTGTGCGTCTGTTGCCTGTAAACATGGACAAACTGCCTAAACTTGACTGCATGAGCTCCAAAAAAAATTTGCATGATAGATGCTCTTAGAAAAGACATCCCTAATTACATCAACAAATTAGTTTAGTGAATGTCACCAATCTAGTGACCCTTAAAACATCTGAACTGGGACTTAAAGTAGTTTGCTACTAAAGGCCTGTTGTTTGGAAGGATGTTTGAGTTTATTTTGTTAATCAATGTAGGGTTTGCTGTTTAAGAAAACCAGTGCACAAATCCCATATTTAGTAATAACACAAAGTTTAAAACACAAGTTATAAAAAAGGAAGAATAAAAGCTATTAACATAGAAATTGTTCTGGCTATCATGTGGTCCTCTGACTTGGTAACCCTTCCTGGTTTTAAACGCTGATTTTGATACTGATTAACTTAAGCAATTCATAGCCAAACCCAAACCTTCTCCTCTGCACAACACCTCTCTGAATCAGTTTGTCATAAACGGGTCATCACCATGGTGATGAATTATAGACAGACTGAGTTTACCATGCGCTCTTAACTCATCGTGAGTTAGGTCTGCATGCTACAGACAGCATCTTTACCAACACCCTCGTTTTCCTGAATAAATCCATTTATTGATTTTATGTACTCAGATCCAAACCAAATAAGCACCTTATTTGGTGCTTTTGTCTTAGATGGGCATAGCAGTTACACCTCGATTCGCTAGTTCACTATTCCAACTGTAACATCATTGCTCAACAGCCTTCTTTGAGGGGCCTAATCAAAAGGGTAAAATAGCTATGATATTCCTATGATGATATATGCTCTTTAATGTGAGCAGTATACTAAATTAACTTATTTTAAATCAGAATTATGCCAAATCATAATTACACAGTAATGTAAACATTATGTTTTGAAAGGCATGAGAGACATGATTGACTCTTTGGTCGATCTTCAAAAATTCCCGCCTGATCACAGAGCAGACTCATCCTAAAACCAAAACATGACACTTCGCCGACCCGCTCTCCCTTGCTCCTGGCAGAGAGAGAGAGAGAGAGGGAGGAGGGGAGAAAGGATGACAGCAGCTTTAGATCTGACATCAAACGCCGACGAAACAGTGAGAAAGGGAGAGAGGGAGAAAAAAAGGTTACATCTCCTCCGTGACAGCTTGCTAGAAGAGCCTCACAAAATGCCGAGCAATTTCTCCCTCCTGCTCTCCATCCCCGTCTATCTATCCTAACACCCACCCCCCCACATCTCTGTGTGTCTCTCATCAAAACTTGCTGCCGATTAGGATCTCTGCGAGCCACGCGCTTCGGGATGAGACGTGAAAACACACAGAGAACCCAAAGGGCTAGAATGCCAGGATTAAAGCGGTGAGGGAATAACGGGGTGATAGTGGCACCGGTTCAAATAGATCGGCCGCCGCGACTGCAGTGGCTCCTCGCCTCGTTCTTGTTCTCTCTCGCTCCGGATTCACACATTGATATATCAAGGCCATTTCTCATTATAGCATGAGAAGGCGAAAGAGCTTTCATGGAGTTGCTTTGGAGGGGGAGACGTGGGGTGGGAGAGAGGGTAAAGAGTGTGGGAGATATAGAATGAAAGAAAAAAGGAGAAAAACCAAGATGAAGCCAGATGATACACTATTAGCACGTCAGAAAGAAAAAAAAAGAAGCAAGTGTGTCTTACTGCTACTGTGGAATCCCTTGACAAATGACAGATAAGTCGACACTGATTAGAAACAAAGAAAAGTCAACTATCAATGTATGGTGAGATGACCGGCGTGCACAGACTTTAGAAGAACCAGTATGAGGGGAATTTCACAGCCTAATTGGAGTTCGCACACTTAATTTCGTTTTTTTCTTGCAGTTTATTCTTACTCCTGGGGCTTCTCCGAAGTGTCTGGTAAATTAAACTGCACGCACCTCAAGCAGTGCCAATATTTGCGACCATTTGGAAATGTCTATTTGTTGGGAGACAAATTATGGCGTAAAAAAGCAATTAGTGAAGCCAAAAAAAGCCAGAGAAAACCCTCATACAGATCAAGCTGGTCACACAATTACTCCTCCAGTCAAGCTGCTCCAGGATTTTTTAAAAACTCAGCCAAACACTGAGAGGTTGCCGCATGTGGGTTCAAGTGTGCTCAGAAGGAATGTCTTCGGCTGGTGCATATGCTTGTCTGTGCATGTGGGTGTGTGTGTCTGCATTAGAGTGGATGTATGGTGTTGTTAAAGTGGCCTTTCTGCCTTTGGCATGAACACCAGTCAAAACACAGACGTAGAACCCTGAAATGAGCAGTCAAATCCTTAGAGATGTCAGACAAAGAAGCGGGTCAGAGGGTGAGCAGAGGATTCTGATTAAATGAAAGAGCTTAAAGCCAACAAAACATTGCAAAGTCAGATAGAAATATATTACATATTGTGTAAGGGAAAAAATATGTTCTTTTTCTATTTTTATAATTCAAAACGTATTTGTATCATTTGAAAGTTTTTTTTGTACATTTTAGGTTGCGCATGGCAGAAAACTCACCGGCAGACTGGAAGGGCGGTCCTGAGGAACTCCATCCTCATTGTTGGTCTTTCCAGAGTTCCCTTGAACAGGTCCTCTAATGTTGTAGTTTTCTTGCTGAGCATCCTAACAAGATAGACAAAAATAATACAAATCAAAAACGAAAAGTCTTTTCAACCAATATTACTATTGCGATTTCACTGCGATTTTTCTTTGCACTAACCACAAGCACTGAGCCGTTTCATGCCAGGGTTTTAGTTTTTTTACATGATTGTCCAGCGAAATGAAAAAGTGAAAAAGTTCTTCTATTGTCCAGCACAAATCTGCGTGATAGTCACTGATCTCTATTCATTCACTGGATTGCTCATTGCCTGAAAAAAAGTGAAGCCACCGTCCGGCATGTTAGTTCTCCCCGCTCCCATGGAGATGCGTAATAAAAATGCCTACTTGTGTAGCATTTGACTGCAAAAACAAGCAGTTTGCTGGCTGTAATTTGTAATGTAATGTATGCAATATAATTTAGAGTCAGTGGATGTACTAACAAAGAAAAGCCATATAAACGCCAATGTATTCTACAGTTAGTTTGTAGCGTAACAGTCTGGCTATCTCGGACTTGAAGACATTGACTGAGTTGGCCATTGACATTGTGTCTAACATTAGAAAATAGAAAGTAGAGTAAAGAAAAAGTAATTCACTGTGAAATGTCAATATAGTAATTCTTTATTAAATGGATGACTCTGTCGTTTTTCTAGTCAAATCAAACGTTTTTAAAGGCTAACGCACAGAGTATAAAAGTATATTCCATCATTCATACACAATTTGCAAACACGAACATTATATGTCATTAACAGACATGTACGTATAATTCAGTCTTGATGTAAAATTTTGAAATTATATGTAACATGTTACAACAATACATTATAAATGTAGCACTTTTGGCACTTCAGTATTATTATGCTAAATTAACAGATTCATTTTATTGTGATGGATTTGAATAATTTGCTTTATTACATGATTTATAGATTTCATTGACTTCATAATGACTATGCAATGTGATGTGCCTATTTTTTTTAATATAGGTTAGAGTAATCTACTTATGCTGTGAAACAGCCAGTGTGTGTCAACTTGATGAATTTATTTTTATTTTAAAAGTCTTAAGTCCCCATGAAAATTAAAACATCAACTTTGTCTGATGCTGTAGCTCACATATTGTTTCCATTACGACCAGCCTAACTAGGGAGTACCAATATGGCGGCCGGTGGCTTCACTTACACCCCGTACTACCAACGGGCGATCAGCAATCCAGTGAATGAATAGAGATCTGTGGTGATAGCTGCAAACCACTTTAAGTGTATTACCGCCACCTAAAGGGCTGGAGGGAGATATTTATCATTTTAATGTTGTTTAATCTAATGTGAATAAAATTAAGTGTCTGCAATTTGAACATTGGGTTTGCGAAATTGCAAAAAAGTTGCAAATGCAATTAAGTGACCAGCCCTAGTATGTCTAATGAGAAAGAGAAATGAAATTTGCAGAATGGTTTATTTTTGGTTGTTATTATTGGCCAGTGAGCGCCAAATCTTTCTCGGGAAACAGACTCAAATTTAGTTTCTACGGCATGCTGACTAAATTCTCTGTGGTTATGAAGCTACAAAACAGTGACAGAGAGCAAGACCTTCAGCAAATACAGAAAGGCTTCATGAAGAGCAAAATATTGTCAGTTTCACACCTCAAGGGGTCCACCTCTCTATCATAGAACATGTTGAAATTTATAAATAAGGTACAGTAAGGAGCTTCTTGACTAAATGCCCACCGAGACGGTTTAACAGTTACAAGTGCCGATCTTTAATTAATGGTGTTAAAGAAAGGTTAAAACCAGCAACCGTGCAACAACTGCTTTTTTTTTCAATGACTGCTTTCACACACACAGTTGGGAGTATCTCAGTCTCTTCATATGAGCAACTCATGACTGTTCTTGTGTGTTTTTAGTTTTACATTACAAAAATCTATATCAGCTCAAATCTGTAGTCAGGATAAAGCAAAGAAAACATGCTGAGTGTCTACACAGACTGAGGATCTTTCCAGATAATTGGCATAACTCCACATCCTTGCAAATATGATTACAGCTCTAAAATAATCTGTAAAATCTTTGTACATTTATTCTGTAGAGAAGAAAAGCTAATTCAAAGAAAAATAAGTTTTAGTGAGATCACTGTTGCAACAATTGTTCAGCCTCCTGATTACTCCTATATAAAGAATGTAACAGTGAACCGTTTTTTCAGGTCCACTTCACTTTTGTAGGACAAGAGTCTCTTGAAGCTTTTAATTAATAATTCATGATCACTCTGTTCCCTTAGCATAGATATCCTGTCACAGGTCTATTTCTCCTAAAATACTTCTTTAAATGGGAAAGAAGAGAACATTATGCAGGAATAGGCTGGATATTCTATGAAATGTTCGTGTTTTCCTCTGATAGCTCATTTTTGGGTTGTTTGACGATTTTGTTTTCCTACCAGACATCAGCGACTTCATAAATACAGCATGTCAACACCACAAGGTGCTAATAAAACTGGAGCTCCCAAGCTGTGTTAAAAGTGATGAAGGGATAGAATAAACTGTTAGAGATTCGTGGGTTTACAAGGCTGTAATAGACTCTGGCGTTCCTGGTAAGACGGAGTCACAACACAAACGACACACTGTATGGAGAAATACACAGAAATAACATCCAAACACACACACACATACATCAGCCGAGCAATTCATTTTGACCAAATCCAGCCTAACCACCCACTAATCCTCCAAACATGCACATTCACATACAAACCCACATCAAGACACACACTCAGCCCCATTGTTCAATCCAAGTCATTTTCTTTCCCTCTGTAATCACAAGCCTATCTAGTGTAAACCAATTTTCTCTCCATTGTCGGAGGTGCTGCCCTCTCTCGCTCCCTCCGTCAGCATCTCTCCCTCCTTCCCTCTGCCTCTTCTTTTCATTCACCATGAAGGTCGTTCCTCCATCATGTAAAGTGTCGGCAGCACAATAGCAACTTGTTAAAGAGCTCTGAGTGGAGGGATTAGTGATAACTGATCAGCGAGTCACAGCGAGAGATCACACACAGCCGCTCGCACACACAAATGGATTCAACACGCACACGTAAAACCATGTGTTTATGTGAAACACACAGCTCAAAATCCATTCCTCCCCTCCAGTTTGATTTCTTATCCATGAAGTGATTACGTTGTAGTAGGTGGGCAATATTTCTGTCAGCTAGGTGATATCATTTTATAGCAGGAGATAATCCTTACAGCAGGAGATGTATCATGTGAAAACTGGTCTATTATTAACTGTAAAACCATTTTAGCTCCAGGATCTGTATGAATGATGTAGGACCTTTGGGGAGTTCATTCCATTTTCTTATACAGTCCTTTACAAACTTAATTAATAGCCACTTATAAGTAGAAATTGCATTCCCCCAATCATTACTCGTAATTAAGTCAAAGTGTCCATGAAATCAAATCTTATGTGCATGTGCTTTTATTTACGCTCAGGGCTTTATATCACCGCTATATATTTTTTTTTTAAAGTGTAAAGTAGTCTGACTGAAGGGTATCTCTCAAGCATAAAACATTCATCTTAACTTAGCTGCTATTATTTCAGTTATAACAACACATCAAAAGCAATCAAATGCTTCAAGAATGTTTTATGTGCCTTTGCCTTGTGTACTGAAAACTATATAAAAAAAAAATATAGTTCACTGAAAACTAACTTTGTAGACTGTTGCATTGTCATTACATGTCATTATTTGAATTTATGAGGTAAAGTACTTCTATAATGAGCCGTTGCTGGTATCCAAATTGAAAGGAAAAGTATGTGAGTTCCTATAATTCAAAACATTTCATACGTTTATCTTTAAAACATCATCCCACCGCAAAGAAACTCTCACTGGATCCTGTTTTAAGCATATATTATGCACTTATTCACTATTTTCACTGAACTGCAAAATTAAAACTAGAAATTATGAAATTTTGTTTGAGAAATATGAAATTTTAAATCTGTGTTACATTACACTAATTACAAGAATTATATATATTTTGAATTTTAAATTTCATTGATCATCACACAAAATATTACATAACTGCTATAATCAACTTTGTTTTGGGTTTTTTTCTCTTGCATTTGGCACAGTTTCTCCATCCTTATATGAGCCATTCTCAATCATCCTCATTACTTCTTTTAATTCTTTTCTTTTCCTATAGTAAGTGGACCTTTGTACTGTAGTTACCTATGTCAGATCTAAGAACCTCTGGTGCACTGTTTCTCTCTTTGGCTAAGTCTTTTTACTTGTTAGTTGTCGCTGCCATTGATATTGGGTATGATTTATTTACGTTGTACTGAAAGTTTATCTGAAAGAGGTCCCCTTGCCACCTCCTGTCTGCATGTTAAGTGATAAAGAGGCATTTCTGCAAAATGATCAATTTGAAATCATCTAGGCTTCATTTTTATAACTTTTTACCATTGTTTACATGCAGTTCTGATGATTAGTTTCTGTCTTTCTCTTTTGTCATTTTGTGTCTGGCTTAGTTGTTTTTTTTTAATTTCTTGTTATATTTTGGTGCACTAATTTCTGTTCTCATTTCAGACTACTTCACTTCCTGGGATTCCTCTTCAATCAGCCTTCCTGACATTGCTCACCTCGGTCATGTTGCCAATTGCCTCGCCTATTTCAACCTCTCCCTCTGCAGCCTTCTTTGCCAGGTCGTCTTTGTCACCTGTGTTAAGCGTTCCAGCGTTTATTCTACCTTTCCTAGCAGATAAGCTAGTTGCTCTACTTGTTTTTTGACCAGCCTTTGTTTTTTTGTGATTTTTGCCAGTTGCTCCTACGCATTGTGCAGAAGTGCATTCAATGATTTTTTTCCCCTGAAAAATTAAAAAAGAACTGAATAGTGGGGAAAAAGTGTAAAAAAACAAAAAACAAAGATTATTTGATTTCTTTTTTATTTCAGAAAAAAAAGCATATATAAAAGCAAAAACAAGGGGTGAACAATTTAGTAGCTAGAAGATGTGGCTCAGTTAGAGCAGTAGGTATTCAGGTAGAGGTGGGTGGGCCTGAGACTTGCTAAAC